AAAGAGTGTGAAGCTTTAAGCAACTATAGTTTTACTAGTCTCGTAATGCTTAAGAGGCATAATTATCAAACTTGGCCTAGAAAATGACCTGATCAAGGGATGGGATCCTTGGTTCCATGGGTTGATTTCAACACGAATCAATCAGGAAAGTTTTTTTTAAAATTTTAATAAAAACTTGGCCAAATTAAACCTCAGCGTCTTATGTCAAAAATCAACTCGAGAAAAGCTTTAAAATAATATATTTTAATTTTAAGTTTTTATAAAAAAATTTAAATTTAGTATTTTCTTTCTTGAACTTGAATTTGATTTTTGTGTTGGATTATTTTGTGAATTTATAGCCTCAAGAATTTTTTATTTTCTTTTTAATTCAATATTTGATGATATTTGAGATTTGACCTTCAATATTCTAATTTTTAATTTTAATTCTTAGCTTTTTTTATTAAATTTTAATTTATTTTTAATTTCATCATTGAATCCCTAATTTTTATTTTTTTTAATTTCATCAGAGTTTGCTAATATTTTTTTGTTCATTAATTTTTTTTTAATTTTATCATTTTATATTTTTATTTTTAGAAATCGATAATTATTAATTTTTTTAATTTATTTTCTAATTCATTTTCTATAACATTGAGTCGTTAGGTTTTTTTTTTTTTAGAATTCATTTACAATGCTTAAACATTATTTTTTTATGTTTTTTTTTAAATCAATCTAGCCTACAATAAAGTGGATCTTGATAAAGCAATCGAGTAATATCTATTTTACTCAATTATCTTCTAAGAGAGAGTGTGAAGCTTTAAGCAACTATAGTTTTACTAGTCTCGTAATGCTTAAGAGGCATAATTATCAAACTTGGCCTAGAAAATGACCTGATCAAGGGATGGGATCCTTGGTTACATGGGTTAATTTCAACACGAATCAATCAGGAAATTTTTTTAAAAAAATTTAATATTTCATATGAAAAAAATTATGAAACAATCCATGTGAATATAAACTATATATATCATAATTAATGAAGTTTAAAATATTATTTCAAAATATTTTTTTATCTCATATTAAAAAAATATAATTTTTTTCTTGTGAACATTAAGTATATACACTAAAAGACTTTAAGTCTCACATTAAAAACATAAAACATTTTTTTAGTATTTATATAGTGAACTTTGAAGTTGGTTAATAATCAACACAGAAATATATATATAAAAGGTCTTTAGCTAAGAAAAAAAAACATTTGAACAAAAAAATCTCTATTGAGTTTTATTGAGTCACCCATATTCTACATTTACCCAGTGGATCGAATTGTTTTTCTCTGGTCAATGGTTGACTTGGGTTTTAATGAAACAAACCCAGTTAAGGTTCCAAATCATCCTAATCCCGGGTTAACCCACCAGGCCAAAATGAGTATGATAACAATGCTTAGAAGTATTAGAATCATTGTTATTAAACTCGGCTTGACTGGCAGGTCGACCGAGGACTCGGTAGCTAGACTGGTCCGGGTTTGTTAAAAGACCGGTTGATGTAATAACCTGGCAAAACTCAATCAACTTGTCGGGTTGACTCATGACCCGAACGAGACCCAATGTTTTTTTTCAAACATGATTTTTCTCCTATACCCCTCTTTTTTCATATTTTTTAAATTGATTATTAACACTTTTTAAAGACCACTATATAAATAATAGAAAAATATATTTTTTTCAATACAAGATTTGAAACTTTTTAGTATAAATACTTTATGTTGCCAAGAAAAAAATTATTTTTTTTTCAATTTAGAATTTGAAATCCTTTAGTGTAACACTCCATGTTCCCAAGAAAAAAAATATTTTTTCAATGTAGGATTTGAAACCCTTTTGTATATATACTCTATATTCACAATAAAAAAGTTATGTTTTTTCAATGTAGGATAAAAAAACCTTTTGATTTTAATATTTTAACTTAAAAGAATAACATAATATCTTTTCAATATGGAATTTAAAGCTCTTTTGTACATATACTTCATATTTATAAAAAAAAGTTATGTATTTTCAATGTAAGATTTGAGACCTTTTAATATATATATTCTATGCTTCTAAGAAAAAAATTATTTTTTCAATATAGAATTTGAAACCCTTTCGTATATATACTATATGTTTACAATAAAAAAGTTATGTTTTTTCAATGTAAGATAAAAAAATTTTTGGTTTAAATACTTTAACTTAAAAAAATAATATAATATCTTTTAAATGTAGAATTTAAAATTCTTTAGTATATATACTCTATATAAAAAAAAGTTATGTTTTTTGTAATGTAAAATAAAAGATTATTTAAAATATTCTCTTAAACTTTATTATTTATAATATATATATATATATATATTTTGTACTCACATGGATTTTTTATTAATTTTTTTATATAAAACATTAAAATTTTAAATATATTTTTTATTTTTTAAATTAATCCAAAAAACCTAGAATTAAATCCCTAAACCGGAACAACCTTGGATAGGTTTGATGACTATGACTAAAATACTCCTATTTAATGATTTTAAGTACAGGATGAGGGAATTAGTATATTACCAGCTCTCGGTCACGGTCTGCTATCTCCCGTGCATGGCGTACAGTTGTGGCCGTATAATGCTCCCTGAGCCCAAAGAAGGCCCGTATCAGCCGCTCTTGTTCCCCCGTTGCCTGAAACCACATAAAATTACGAGCAATTAATTTTAAGAACTCGTTAAAAATTTAGAGAAGAAATATTAAGAAGGTAAAATCCAGTGATGGAGAATTAAGGATGAAAAATATCTTTGAAGAGGTGAGGAGTTAAAAATGTTTGCTAGAAATTGAAAAAACAAATATAATAATTGTTAGTAAATTCTATAATAAATCAAATCAAATCAAATTTATGTAATTATAAAATATTAAATAATTTAGATTAGTTAAGTAGGAGCTGGAATAAAAAAAGTTAAATTTAAAAAAAAAGGAAAAAATGCGCATTTTTCTCCCTTAAAAATCCTTTTCCCTCCATTTCCAAGATTAATATTTAAATGTTAGCTCTTCTAAAATCATCCCCTCTCTTAAAAAATTTACCAAAAATTAGTAAATAAGATGAAAAATTACAGCCTCCCTCTAATTACCAATTAAATATATCTTTAGTGAAAAGATAGAGGGAAAGAAAAGAAAATGGAGAAGTACCAGCGGGGTCCACTCCTCGGGGAGTGATTGGCACGGTTTGAATGACTCTGACGTTACTGATCCATCTGACTTAATGGCTGCAACAGATAGCTCAAGTGGTGGGTAAGCATCCTTGTCTGTTGAGGTAGATATGCTGCTGCTTCCACCAGGGAGTGGCTGCGTAATATTCTTGCGCAGCAAAAATTATTAGATGAAATCTGATTTTACAATCAAGGGAGAAGTAAAAAAATTACTATTACTTTCTAAACAGTGTTTCCCTGATCTGTATGATCGATTAAGTGTATGGGAGCCATGTATGTGCTCTTGACGTCCAAAATTAAGGATCTCTTGATTTTCTTGGAAGAGAAGAAAGTTGTGATCCATGCATGCATCTCTAAGAATTACTATTCTAACTGCATCCATGTATGAGTATGTGCATGCCTGCAATAACATATCTTCATTCAAACGAACTCGATCGCATGTTTCCTGAAGTTGCAGGGTGCACAGTCCCACCATTATAGCCCATTTAATGAAAGCGTATATGCATGGTAGCCTGTGATCTTGATAGATGCACTTGAGCTTTCCATTAGGAAGTCTCAAGTGAGGATTCGAAATCACAGAAGAACTATCCCACTTGTTACAGATTACATGAATGAATATATATACACATATTCTAACTGACAAGAAGGAACTAACTAACAATATTTAACTAACTGTAAAAGTCATGACTAACTAACTAATAACATCCAACTGTATTTGTAACTGTATTTCCATATATATGTGAAGATTGCAGAATAAGAATGGAAAAGCTTTAGGCTGCTGTGATCATTGCAGCGTCTGCAGGTTGCTGGGATTCTTCTGGTTCTTTGGTTATATATGTAGAGTGTTGTAGATTCCAATACAAGGAGTGAGAATAAAGGGGCTCTATCTATTGAGAAACTTATTGCATGCAAGATTCCGTAACATATCCATAAATGAACTTGGATGTTCGAGATAATAGAAATTGAAGTTGCATTGATTGAGCTTTTACAGATCTCCTCAGGTACATAAGGAGGGAGCTGGAAGCAAATGCATGGGATAAAACAAATGAAATGGGGCATGCATCTATATATGCGTTGTACCCGTGATATCAGTACTCGGTGATATAAAGAAATAAGGTTGAGAGCTTCTCCCAGAATGCACAGGATATATATTGCTTGTAATCGATAGTGATGTTTTTTTTTTCACTCTTTGTCTCGTAAACTTCTGCCAGACCAAAATCGCCAAGTTTAAGGCTAAATTGTTCAGAATTATCCTGAATTTTGTATCAAATTGAACTTGGCCCTTAAATTGTTCAGAGCCACGAAAATGTTGTTTGTTCTTTATTTCCTTTGCACTTTTACTTCCGTATCTGGTTAATTATAATTTAAATACAACTGCATGCATCTATCACAATATATGGTTTAATTTGTCGTGGAGATTCAATAATTTACTGGAACGTTTTATTTTGATTTGTGCAAAAACTAACAGGAATAGAGAAAAAGAAGTACCTTTATTATATCCCAACACTCATTCACCATTCCAGTCTGTTTCTCAACAGTGTCTCTGGCGTGCCCTCTACTTTCTCCAAGCTCCTGAACAAATTTTCCGATCTGACATGTATCATCCAATAAAGGTTTCATCATTGACTTACAAAGATCTACTTGTCCTTTGTAGTAGTTGCACTCATCTTGAAGAGTTTTCAACTGCGCCTCATTGTTATCCTGCTTATTCTGCATTATAGATATAGATTAGCAAATGAAGGGTAAATTACTTATACAAGAGTGGGGGAGAAAGAAGAGAAAATGCACTGAACGAGTTTGGGATAGTAAATTTCTTTTCCAGCAGGTATAAGCCAATGATTGATTGAAAGACCAGGAGGCAAAGCACAAACTTGGAGAGGACATATATATATACAAGTATAAAAGCAAAGATGCACAGAAAGGAAACAAAAGGAGCGACGGTGCTAAACAGCAGGCACTACAAAGCCAAGCAACCGCAAAACTGTAATAAGAACGACAGCATCATGATTAGATATCAGAAAACTTATATAAGTTGGTAAATTAAATTTTATTTTTGAAAAAGTGGAAGATCACGTTACAAAGAAAAAGGTAACAAGGAAAGAAAGGATAGAAAGTTTTTGAGGGATTCATTACATATCAATTCCTCAAGCTATACCTTTTTCTTTTCACGAGACTTCTTGTCGATTTCCTGTTTCCTTTTCCTTTTTGCATCTGCAGCTAGCATGAGAGAAATCAAAGATCGAAATCGGATCAAGAACAGTCCCATGAATCACTCTGATTAATTAATTACTCGACACAGAAGTTAAGCAACTTCTAAGTTTGGTGGAGAATAAGAAATGATGCGCATAGTCAAGTACAACGATGCATCCTTAATTTTTTAGTCGAAACTAAAACCTGCAAACGATGGACTTCTAAATTATACCTTCGAGTCGTTGATGATCAGATGGTTTCTTGGTTGGATTGGTTGCCATCTCTAGAATGGGAAATCAAGTATCGGACGACAACTTGAACACTCCAAATTAATGGCGAACCAGTACTAAGAGAAAAGAAACAAGAAATACTTTGGATAGAGGGACTGATGAGAGAGTGAGAGAGAAAGAAAGAGGGAGATAAACATGTTATGGATAACAAAGATGAAAGCATAGAGGGAGACATCTTCAGATATCGTTCGAGATCGGACCCTAAGGCATCGAAATATCAAGACATGCCGCAGAAAGGAAGCTATTTTTTTCTTTTCTTTTTCTTTTTTTTTTAATCGATGAAAATCTTTAACATAATTTTTAAATCCGACTCAGTAATCATTAATCAATTCACAGGTTTTGGTGGTGACTATGGGACTGTTGGTGGTGTAGATTAATTATCTTTTTTTTTTAAAAATATTAATTAAAAAAACTATTTTAGTGGTGTCCAAAGTGTGTGTGTCTATATATATATATATATTAATATTTTTACTATGGACAAACACTATTGTTGTTTGCATTTTTTATACCAAGTAAAAACCCAACACAAGTCACATTCATCATCATTGCACTCATTTATCTCTTATGGCGGGGGGGGGGTGATCGTTG